TACACACACGCACACGCATACACACACGCACACGCATACACACACGCACACGCATACACACACGCATACACACACACGCACACACACACACGCACACACAGACACACACACAGACACACACACAGACACACACAGACACACACACAGATACACAGACACACACACACACAGACACACACACACACACACACACCGACACACACACCGACACACACACACACACACACACACACACACACACACACACACACACACACAGACACACACACACACAGACACACACACACACAGACACACACACACACACACACACACACACACACACACACACACACACACACACACACACACACACACACACACACACAGACACACACACACACACACACACACACACACACACACACACACACACACACACACACACACACACACACACACACACACACACACACACACACACACACACGGACACGCACACAAACTCATCCTCATGCTCACACATTCACTCACCCAAAACTCGTTGATAGACGCCAAGATCCCCTGCATTGTATACCTGGACGCCCCGCCGAATGAGACAAGAAAAAGAAAAGAAAAAAGAGAAGAAGAAAAAGAAAGAAAGATGAAAGTTTAAAAAAATGACAGAGATTAAAAAATAAATAATAAAATAAGATAAAACAGCTGTTACTACCCACGCTGTGTCTGCTAGGTTGAACCAAGCAGAATGTGTTTGTACTGTTTGTGAAGCGATCCAGAATTTTTTTTTTTCTCTTAAAGGTTTACCGTGTCCAGTTTGGTATCACATTTTGTATATATTGGTGTAACATTACTCACCGATGCATGAAGAAACAGTTGATTTGGTTTTATTTATTTATTTATTGTTATTTGATTTCATTTTTTTTATTTATTTTTATGTTGTTGTTGTTGTTGTTGGATTGTTTATCTCTCACAGGAACGTAGTTTATTTAACTATTATTCTTTTTTTTTCTCTCGTTTCTTCCATACCTTATCCGTAATGTTTGTCTCTTTGGGCCGTTAATTGGGTTCTGATTGGCTCTGACGCTGGACCAATGGGGGAGCTTGTTTTGATAAGCCCCTTTTATGATTGGCTGTTGCTCTTTGCGGGAGTCATCGGTGATAAATCAGGGAGGGGGCTTCTTCCGCGGGATATTTGCATAATTATTGGGAGCCTTATTGGGAGCAGATCTGAGGGGCAAGTCTCCTTCCGTCGCTCTTGTTCTTTTGTCTGTGTATTATTGTCTTTCTCTCTATGTCCACGTCTCTCTCTCTCTCTCTCTTTCTCTCTCTCTCTCTCTCTCTCTCTCTCTCTCTCTCTCTCTCTCTCTCTCTCTCTCTCTCTCTCTCTCTCATATTCTTCTTTTTCTTCTCTCCCTCTTCCTCTTATTTTTCATCCTCTCCTTTTCCCTTCCCTTTCCCTTTATTTCTCATTCATGCCTCTCTCCGTAGATCCCTCTCTCTTTCCTTCTCATTATCCTTCCTTTCCTCACCCTCTCTCAGTCTTTGCTTCCTTCACTCTCACTCTCAACCTCTTCCTTTTCGTCTCCCTCTTCCTCTTCCTCACCATCTCACCCCATAGATTCCTCCCTCTCTCCTTCTCATCATTCTTCCCTCCCTCACCCTCTCTCCTCCATTTATCAATCTTTCCTTCTCTCGATCTCAGCTTCTTCCTCTGCCTTTTGCTCTTCCTCTTCTTCATCCTCTTCCTCGTTTTTTATCCCCTTCCTCTTCCTCTTCTTCACCCTCTTCCTCGTTTTTATCCCCTTCCTCTTCCTCTTCTTCACCCTCTTCCTCGTTTTTATCCCCTTCCTCTTCCTCTTCTTCACCCTCTTCCTCGTGTTTTATCCCTTTCCTCTTCCTCTTCTTAATCCTCTTCCTCATCTTCCTCCTCTTCCCCGTTTTTATCCCCTTCCGCTTAATCTTCTTCCTCATCTTCCTCCTCTTCTCCGTTTTTATCCCCTTCCGCTTAATCTTCTTCCTCCTCTTCCTCTTCTTCCTCCTCTTCGTCTTCCTCTCTGAAAGCGAGCGACGTGAGCCAACCAGAGCCTAGTTTGCCACAGGCCAGACTCGCCTCCTGCCTCGGCGGTCACTTGGAAGGCTTGTGTAGAAAGAGAAGTTGCTGCTTCATTTAGCATTCACGTAGGTGTTATCCAGAAGGAGTGACATTAATGTTGATAAGGATGGTAATGATATTGTTAAGAATGATAACAGTATTAATATTAATGATAATAATAATAATAATAATGATAATGATAATCATAATAACAATAACTGCAATGCTGGTGATAATAATGGTGATAATGATATTGTTAATGACGGTTGTTAACCTATTTTGACTTCTAATCACTTTTTTTTTTCAATTAGAATTTTATCATTTGTTTATTTAATTATTCATTCTTTTTTTTCTTTTATTTTATTTTGTTTTGTTTTCCTATGACGACAAAGTACTACTGCACAACGATTCAGCTTCTCCTCCCCTCCCTCTCCCCTCTCCTCTTTCCCTTCTTCCTTTTCCCTCCCTCTCCCCTTCCTCATCCCCTCCTTCTCCCCTCTCCTCTTTCCCTTCCTCTCTTCCCCTTCCTCTTCCCCCCTTCCCCTCCTCTTCCCTCCTTCCCCTTCCTCTTCCCTCCTTCCCCTTCCTCTTCCCCCTTCCCCTCCCTCTCCCCTTCCTCTTCCCCCTCCCCTTTCCCTCCCTCTCCCCCTCATCTTTCCCCTCCCTCTCCCCCTCCTCTTCCCCTCCTCTCCCCCCTCCCTCTCCCTCTCCTCTTCCCCCTCCCCCTCCCTCTCCTCTTCCCCCTCCCCCTCCCCCTCCCTCTTTCCCTCCCTCTCCCCCCCTCCTCTTTCCCTCCCTCTCCCCCCCTCCCGCACAAGCTAGCGTGCTCAAGCTAACACCTTTTTATGTAGCTTTATTGCAGGAGCCCTATGACTCACGCGACTTGGGGGGAGGGGAAGGGAGGGGGAGAGGGGAGCACCCTGAGACGAGAGGAAGATTGTAGGTTGTGGTAGGCGGGGTGAGGGGGGTGAGGGGGGTGAGGGGGGTGAGGTTTCAGTCCTGAAGAGGATGGAAGTGCGTGTGAGAGTGAGAGTGAGATTGTAAGTGTGAGTGTGTGTGCGAGTGTGTGTGCGAGTGAGTGAGTGTGTGAGTGAGTGAGTGTGCGAGTGAGTGAGTGTGCGAGTGAGTGAGTGTGCGAGTGAGTGAGTGTGCGAGTGAGTGAGTGTGCGAGTGAGTGAGTGTGCGAGTGAGTGAGTGTGCGAGTGAGTGAGTGTGCGAGTGTGCGAGTGAGTGAGTGTGCGAGTGTGTGAGTGTGCGAGTGTGCGAGTGTGCGAGTGTGTGAGTGTGTGAGTGAGTGTGTGAGTGTGTGAGTGAGTGTGTGAGTGAGTGTGTGAGTGAGTGTGTGAGTGTGAGTGTGTGTGTGTATGTGTGTGTGTGTGTGTGTGTGTGTGTGTGTGTGTGTGTGTGTGTGTGTGTGTGAGAGAGAGAGAGAGAGAGAGAGAGAGAGAGAGAGAGAGAGAGAGAGAGAGAGAGAGAGAGAATGGAAGAATGAGAGAGGAGTATATATATATAAGTATATATATATATATATATATATATATATATATATATAGAGAGAGAGAGAGAGAGAGAGAGAGAGAGAGAGAGAGAGAGAGAGAGGGAGAGGGAGGGAGAGAGCAAGAAAATAGGAAGTTGAGCGTGATAGCACGCGAGGGCGCATTGTGAAAACACTTCAGTAATATCACTTAACTCCCTCTGAATTTAGAGATAGAGATAATTTAGCTAGCCACAGGACCTAAAGCATCCACAGGTTCAATTTCACATTCCATAACGCCATAACTTTCGCAGATGTTGGTCTACCTTATAGCCTCTAAGCAACCTGAAGACTGTAGGGCAGTTGTTCTTAACCTTTCACCTCCAAAAGTCCATTTTGTTGAAGTTAATTATCCTACAGATCCAAGGTTTTGACAGATCAGTCGACTCAGGATTTTTATCAGCTATGGACAAACTCATAACCCCGGTCTCATTGCTTAATTGAAAGAGTGACGTAACTGAGTTTGCTATGACTCACAATAGATAGCTGCATATTGTAATAAAGACGAAACCGTAGTTTTGGAATCTGAAGTTGCCTCACCAACCTTCAATTCTAACGTTGCGGGCCCTCAGGTCTGCTTTTAGGGGCCCTCATGATTGGTGGCCCACTGGTCGGGAGCCACTGCTGTTGGGTGATGTTCTCGAGACGCAGCACTGGTGTCACGTTGGTTTAGGCTGGACTGCAGGGGACAGGGCGAGGCGAAGAGGGGTCTGCTTGGAATCCCACAAGGAGGAGGAGGAGGAGGAGGAGGAGGAGGAGGAGGAGGAGGAGGAGGAGGAGGAGGAGGAGGAGGAGGAGGAGGAGGAGGAGCAGCAGCAGCAGCAGCAGCAGGAGGAGCAGGAGGAGCAGCTGGAGGAGGAGGAGCAGGAGCAGTAGGAGGAGCAGCTGGAGGAGGAGGAGCAGCTGGAGGAGGAGGAGCAGCTGGAGGAGGAGGAGGAGGAGCTGGAGGAGGAGGAGCAGCTGGAGGAGGAGGAGGAGCTGGAGGAGGAGGAGGAGGAGCTGGAGGAGGAGGAGGAGCAGCTAAGCTAGAATGTTCGGTTTTGTTAGACTGAAATTAAGTTTTGAAGATTTGTATTCTCTTTTTTTTTTTTAGAAAATATTGCTGACAAATAAAAATGTTGAGAAATTTCTACAGTTTCTGACCCCCCCCCCCTTCCCCCCACAACCTCCTTCTTCTGGGCCATAAAAAGAAAAGGAAAATGTTCAGTTAAACCACGTGATCACCAGTTCAACGCTCGGTGGTTAAATCATTTTCATAATGACGGTTCTTTTTTAAATATGAAAATAGAGACTAAGAAAAAAAAAAGGAAAGAGATAAGAATAATAACAGAAAAAAAATAGAGAAAAAAGAGGAATGACTGATCACCCACTTTTTTTTCTCTCTCTCTCTTTTAGTTTTGGAACATCCTGAACTTTTTGGGGGCGTTAGACGATTTGACGGTAAATATAAACCATGGATTCTCTCTTTGCTGCGTGACTATCGTTCCCCCTCCTTTTCATTTTTTATTATTATTTTTTTTTTAGTTCTTTGGCTGGTTGACTTGACTTCTCAAAGGATTTTTTTTTTTCATTTTATTTTTTATTTATTGGTTTATTTGGGTCAGCGGAATATGTCGCTGATTTGCACGTTCGTTCGCACAGCGGTTTTGGGAATGCAACTTTTTTTTATTTGTTTTTCTTTCTTCACTGGTGTCTCTTCTATTCGCTATTGACTTCATTCGAGGTTTTGAATATATATATATGTATGTGTATATATGTATATATATATATGTATATGTGTATATATGGATATATGTGTATATATGTATATATATGTATGTATATATATGTATATATGTATACATATGTATGTATATGTATATATATGTATATATATGTATATATGTATTTATATGTATAGATATATCTTTATTTTTGGGATTAATTAATCTTTTCCGCAACGACACACGAAGCTGGTTTGCGTTGTTTAGAAAATTAACCGATGATTTAACAATACCTTTGGAGTTTTTATCACTCTATATTCTCTCTTTTTTTTAATTATCATGTAGACTTCCCTAATTTGGCATGTGATTCATGTTGTGTTGCCGGAGCCGCTGTGTTAATGACGTCACAACATGCCTTGACCAATCCCGCCCAGTTTTACACTCCAGCGTGACGGAGCGCTTGTTGTTTTAAGATTTATTTGTTGTTGATATTTTTTCTTTTTTTTTCATCGTGATTACTTTATTACGAGAAACTGTTACTAAATCATAAGGAAAGGATTGTCTGTGTGGGGGGGGGTAGGTATTCCCCTCCCCCTTAATTGGTCTAAGAAATGTCTCGTTTTTTCTCTCTCATATTATTAGTATTTTTTTTCTTTTCTTCTTTAAATGGTTTCCTTTTTTTAAGGTACGACACCAAAAAGCAACGGACAGTCTTTTCCTTCCATTTCTAATACGTGTGGTGGCTTGCTGGGACTAACTGCTGATACGACCAAGACGACTTTTAGCACTAGCTGGTTTATTCTCATTATCTCTCTTTCTCTCTTTTCATTCTGTGTCTCGTTTTTTTTTTTCAACTACTCTCTCCCTCAATCCTTCCTCGATCCCTCTGTCTCGCCTCGTCCTCTTCTTTCTCTTTCTCTTTCTTTCTCTTTTTTCTCCTTTTCTCTTTTTCTCTTCTTTCTTCTCCTTCAACTTCTCCTTCTCCTCCTTCTCCTTCTCCTTCTCCTTCAACTTCTCCTTCTCCTCCTTCTCCTTCTCCTTCTCCTCCTCCTCCGTCTCCTTCTCCTCCTCTTTCTACTACTTCTCCTTCTCCTTCTTCTCCCCCCCCCCCCCTCTCTCTCTCTCTCTCTCTCTCTCTCTCTCTCTCTCTCTCTCTCTCTCTCTCTCTCTCTCTCTCTCTCTCTCTCTCTCTCTCTCTCTCGCTCCCTCATCTTACGGAAAAGGGTAAGAGAGTGAGGGGGGGGGGGGATGGCATGGAAAGGGGAAAGAAGGGGATAACATCAGCCACACACAGATACCCATGTTCTTGTCCGGACCGACTCAATGAGTGTGAGTGTGTTATGTATATGTGTGTTTGTGCCCTGTGTAGATATATGAATACACACACAGGCACGCACACACGCGTGCGCGCATACACACACACACACACACACACACACACACACACACACACACACACACACACACACACACACACACACACACACACACACACACACACACGAGACATATATAACACACATTCTCTCTCTCTCTCAGTGGAGACCTCATGAAAAGGTTTATTTTAACAAAAGTGTTTATGTCTCATTGATCTGATTTTCTTTATAGTATCTTGGTGTGTATATGTAAAGTGTTTTTTCATCATTGGAGAAAGATTTGATAATGTAAGGTGTAAAGGAGAAATAAAGAGAAAAGGGAGACGTAGGAGGAGGAAGAGGAGGAGAAGGAGAAAGAAGAGGAAGAGGAAGAGAAGTGTTCTCCCCTGCTGAGTTGGTGCTTGTGTGCTACTGCTTTCTGCTTTATTTCCGCTTATGGTCTTTCCCCCTTTTGTTATTTGCTGCCACGCAACCCCCCTCCCCCCTCCCCCCTGTGCTGCACTTCGGTGTCTGCTGATGCCCCCTTTCCCGCTTCTTCGTGTTATTTTTTTTTTCCTTATTTCAACATTCTCCACTTTTTTTCTTGTTCTTCATCCCCTTCGTCATTGTCTTTGTCTGCTGTTTTTTTTTCTTCTCCGAGTTTCTTCTGACGTGTTTAGATGTACTTTCCCGCGTGTGGTGACAGGCCATGTCTCCTACGGTCTTCGCGGACGTCAGTTACCGTGCGCAGTTTTTGATTCACCGACGAACTAAAAACGTCTACCGTAGAACAAGTGTCCCCCCCGTTTTCTATGTTCGTGACGTCACTGATGGATCTCTGAAGGCTGTAGGAGACGTGTCCTATCTGGCTCTCGCGGTTCGCTGTTTCTCAAGACGCGGCCTGGCCTGGAGTCCTAGTCGGGGGGGGGGGGGGGGGGAGGAGAGGGATAGGAAAGATAGGAGAGTAGAATAATAGGAGGGAAGGAAACGGGATTTGGGAGACTTTTCCTGTCTTTTCTGTGCGTCTTTGTGAAGGTTGTGTATTTGTGTAGTGTATTTGTGCGTGTATGTTTGTATGTATGTATGTATATATATGTTTACATGTATGTATTCCGATCATTTGTTATATATATAAGAATATGATAATGTTATATTTGTCTCCTTAGTGCTTTTAAGTATCCGCTGGCACATTTTCCTGTAGACTGGGCAGTTCAACGTAGAGTCCTAGGGTTTATGCTAAATATGCTGCACCTTGTCATAATACTAATTGTATTGTAATGAAAATCCGTAAATACCACGAAAGGTACCAATGTGACGAGTATAGCTAGCTTACACCTTTTCTGTAAGTAGAACACCCTTGTCGATGATTTAATGGTTCATATACTGAATGCCTCTTTGTGAAATATTAGAATCAGCCACATGAACCAGGAGTACCCAGCTGGAAGGAACCACAGTCCACCAGGCCCTCCGCAGATCCTGGTAGCCGTACCTTAAACTATGCCAGACGCATTCCATGTGATATGCTGTGACAAGGAAGTTTATATTTAGCCATGTCCGTTTTGTTTTCTCTTGTCTATTCCATTTGTCCAGAGTTCCGCTTGGTATACTGAATTTGGCTTAGGTTCTCGTATTTAGCGGGTGCGGTAGAGCAGAGAAGGGGGCGCTCGAAACTAGGTAGGGGCCAGGAAATGCCATTCGTTGCTGTTGCGGTCACTGAGGACAGGACTCCGGCTGGCCCGCTCGCCGAATCTTTCTCTTGGACTCCAGGCATGACCTCCCCCTGCCCCCTCCCCCTCCCCTCAAGGTGGCCCTCGTACAGGTGTCTCCCGGGCGCCCTTTGCTCTCTGAAGGGTGCGCGGGGGAGGGCGGGGTTTTCCACTTTCCCTCTGTGTGTGGGGTTATAAATATACACTTTTCACATTTACCTGATGGCACCCGTGTTATTTTCTTTTTTTTTTTCTTCCTGTTTGCCCTTGAATACTTGTCTTAAAGACAGTGCTGTTTTAGAGTAGTGAAAGAAGAGAGGCGATTGTGAACAGGGGTATTGTAATGTGTGTGTCTTATGTACGTAGGAGTTAAAATGCTTATTAGTGCTATCATTATGTGTAGTTGATCTGTTATTCATTGTGTATAGTAAAGTCAGACTGTGGTCAATTACTGTGTAGAGTAGAGGCATGTGAAGTGTGGTAGAGAGGTGCGTGGTGAAGACATTGTGGTAGAGAAATACAAACATGTATGACAGGGATTTCTTGAAGCGTAGTTGAATGGTGCTAGAACTGAGGTTTGGGTTGAATGGTGTTGTAGGTCAGCATATGGAGTGTTTCTGATATTTGTTAGATATGTTGCACTGTTATGTGTCGTGTCAAGGGACAGCATGTACAAGGAATAGAAAAGAGTGCGATTAGGTAGATAAACTAGTGACAAGTACATATAGTAGACATGTCGGTAGCATTGTGTAAGGAGTAGGGGGAGAGAGAGTAAGAGAGAGAGAGAGAGAGAGAGAGAGAGAGAGAGAGAGAGAGAGAGAGAGAGAGAGAGAGAGAGAGAGAGAGAGAGAGCGAGAGAGAGAGAGAGAGGGGGGGGGGGGGCGAGAGAGAGAGAGAGAGAGAGAGAGAGAGAGGGGGGGGGGGGCGAGAGAGAGAGAGAGGGGGGGGGGGGGGGGGGCGAGAGAGAGAGAACAATGTCGGATGGCATTGCATGAGAGTACCCAATCAGCAAGACAGCTTCTGTTGCAACATTCGTGGCTGTGCTTAGAATAAGGAAGGAATGGGTGCGCGCGATTTGGTAGTTTTATTATGGTAGGTGAAAATGATAGTCGTGTGGAATGGGCTGTTAGAGAGAGAGAGATTGAGTGTGAGTGAGAGTGTGAGCGTGAGTGTGATTGAGAGTGAGAGTGTGAGTGAGAGTGAGAGTGTGAGTGTGAGTGTGATTGTGATTGTGAGTTTGAGTGCGAGTTCGAGTGTGTGTGGACATGTAAGTGAAAACCCAAAAGACATACAGAATTTTGTGTGTGTATACATGCCAGATTTGCCCGAGAGTGTTTACGTGTGGAGAGATGAACGCATGCGCACATGAGCGTGTGCGTGTCCCTGAGCGTCCAGACCAAGGAATCTAACTTTGTGTATACATCTTGTCTCCCCGCTGCAGGACGGCATCGCTTCCCCGCCCTCGCCCGCGTCCCCAGCCACCGCCCGCCAGATCGAGGCCCCGCCGCCCGCAACACAGGAGACAAAGTCGCTGGTAAGTCAAGAACTTTTTTATTGTTGTTATTATAATTGCAGTTCGTGTGGTATGAGGCTCCAGCTATTTTTATAATATTATATAGTGATTTGAGTGCTTTGTCTTTATTTTCCCGATTAATGTTGATATTGCGGACGTCGGTATTCCGTTTATCGCCATTTTTTTTTCTCGTTTCACTATCACTGAAACGAGAATCGGTTATATAAATTTGAACGTGTTGAGAGTCATTATAGTTCGAATTAAATCGATTATTGCAAGGGGGAACTGAGCACGAGAAGAGGCTAGGTGAAGGGGGGGCGTAGAAGTATGAGGATAGAGGAGAGGGGGGAGAAAAGGGGGGGGAAGTAAGTTTGGGAACAAAAACCGGGGACGCGTGAGTTAGGGGCACAGAGATAACACAAAGAAAGAGTTCAGCCTGGGGGTTCCTGTAGGCTGTGTCCTAGGATTTGGGTGAAGTCTCCGGCCTGTTTGATTATCTAGGTCGCTTTGTTGCGCCCGCTCGGTTGATCTCGTTTGATTGATAATTGATCGCACTGATTGCTCATCAGCGCCATCAGGCTCCATTCTAGGGCCTCGCTCCTCGTAACGATGGCTTTGGTTTAGGTTTTATGGCTGTCCGCTCATTTGTTCGTTTTTTTGTGTTCTTTTTTTGTCTCTTTCGTGTGTGGGGCTATGAACGCGGACTGAAGTTCGTTATTCGCTGTCGCGTGCTGCCGGCGTGACTCTCGCGGCGTTGTAATTGTCTCGAGACTGCCGCGGTGTGCATGATGATCAGCCCAGAAGGTCGTCGGGCCCGGGATGCCACAGCAATAAAGCATCGCGGGCTGCCGTGCGTGTAATGGGGCTCAGCAGTTGTCGCGCAAGCTCCACGCACTCCCCATCTCGCGGCGTCTAAGGTCCGCGTCCCCGAGGCCGCCTTCGGAATGACGTTCGTGTGCGACGCCCTTAGCGAGCTCCTCCTCGCTGTATGAGTGCCTCGTCGGAGGAGGGGCTTGCGGATCGGGGCGGGAGGCCTGGCATGTCGACGTCGAAGAGACACTATCTGCTGTGGTTATTGAGTGCCTGGAAACGGGACAGTGCTGTTATCTCGACCTCGTTACGGCAGTTTGTCAGATACTTAATGGGTGCCTCCAGACGGGTGAGTGGCCATGTACTTCTCACTGCGGTTTCAACATTCAGGTTCTTGCTTGGTAGGTGCGTCGCTTTCCTCGCCTTTGTCGACTGCGGGCTAGAGAATGCTTGCTCCCGTGCTTGCCTCACTGGGATATGAGAAGCGATTATCTCTGTGTGAGTCCCCGAACGCCATCGCTCTTAGTACCAGTGGCTCAGTTATATACAGCTCATTTGGCAATGCACTTGATGCGCTCATAACCATTTCAGTTGTTTTATGGCTTATAAAGTAACGTCGCTTCATCGCCATGACATCATTTAAGAGGCAAAAGTATCACCGCCGTGTATGAATCATTTCGTTTATGGCGTCGTGTGCAAGTTAGTAGTCTGGGTGCTCCCGTTCTCGATTTATTGCACCTTAATTAGCGCACCTTGCACCACACCTGTGCCTGCCATCTCGCCTCTTTGTTTAATGAACTGTAGGATTATCTGCAGTATGTTCAGGGAGGGAAACACTTTGGATGGGCATGGTGGACAAGGGCTCGCGTCTTGGGCAGGGACCCGCTAAGGGAATGGAAGTAAATATAGATAGTTGTAGAAGGGCGCGTTCCTGTGACGCGGCACTTTTGCCTCCGTGCCATGTGGCATTCGGGACTTGACAGTCAAGTGAAAGTACCTGTACCCGAGGTTGTGATAGAGCTCGACGTAATCTGGGCATCAAGGGCATGCTGGAATAGTCAGCGTCAAATAGGTCTTCCTCAGGACACTGCGAAATGCGATCTCTGCCGAAATTTAAGTTTACCCAGCGTCGCTGCCATCGGTTCGGGGAGGGAGCAGTCCTGGCTGAGTAGACTTACCTCCTAATGGGGGAGGGCTCCTCCTCCTCCTCCTCCTCCTCCTCCTCCTCCTCCTCCTCCTCCTCCTCCTCCTCCTCCTCCTCCTCTTCTTTCCCCCATTATCCTCCTCCTCTTCTCCCCCCCATTATCCTCCTCCTCCTATTCTTCCCACCCCATTATCCTCCTCCTCCTATTCTTCCTCCTCCTATTTTTCCTCCTCCTCCTCCCTTTCCTCCTCCTCTTCCTTTTCCTCTTCTTCCTCCTCATTTTCCTCCTCCTCATTTTCCTCCACCTCATTTTCCTCCTCCTTTCCCCTTGCATCCTCTTCATGGTCGCCCCCAGGAGAACGCCATCTTGGTTACGTTAACTCTATTTTATCGCATAGCGACCTCGGGACATACCTCGGCGGTTGGCCCTGGCGTGAGAATAGTTTCCTGGAGGTTGAGTTTGTTGATCGCGTGAGTCTGAGTGGCTATAATGTACATGCGACTGTGCATGCATGCGTGCACTTGCGAGGGTTTCCTGCAGGACGCCCCGGACACGCCGCCCCTGACGTGTTTGTCGTCGGGGCTTGTATATGCCTTCCTCGGCTTGGTTGGCTATTTGTGCCGTCAGCCTTGGATGAATACAGAACACACGTGGCTATAGATAGACGTTCGTTTATTTATGCCAACCGTGTGTTTATCGCTGCCAGTGGAAACGTACGTGGGGTATGCCTGTTGTGTTCATTATTTTGGTCATGGGTACTTCCGTCACAGCCCATGTGATTCTATTTTTTGAAGCTTGTAGTTTTTTGGGAATGCTCCCCCACAGTGTTTTGAAATACCTTTACATTCTGCAGCAGAAATAGCTTGATCGTGTTTATGTGGATACATTACAGACGTTGAGGCATGTTTGCAAGCTTAGAACTTATGTAAGAAGTAGTAAAACGTAACGCTGTTTCTTTGATCATTGCCCAGTTTTTTATGTGGGTTAATGTAACTAAATTCTGACCTTTTTCATTAATTCAGACGTTTAATTTTTCACATAATAATTAAATATCTGTAAAAAAAATGGCCTCGTCAAATGATAGAAAAAGTACAAAGAAAAAGTACAAAGGACCAAGAACGTTTTGTATAGTTATCCATAACTGAGTCCGTTTTCTTTCGTAATAGGTTATCGTTTAGAGAGAACGCCGAGTAGTTCAGCAGTAACTTATCTAAACCGCTGACAATCGAGGAAAACGAAGGTCGACCTTTGTTTGAACATATTTATTAATATTTGATGTGTGTTTATTTCTTGAGATATGTGAGAATGGTTATTTGACCTGAAGTGATGTCATACGAAACCATATCGATTACAGATAGTTAATTGAAATAAGAATGCATTATGATTTTACTGTAAGTTTGATCTTTCCTTGAAGCTTCTCAAATAAGAAGTAGGGGTTTTGCTCAATATTTTTTTTTTTGTTATTTGCATTTCTTTCACTCGTTTCCTAGTCATCGAAATCGCAATGATAATAATGACGGTAATGATAATGACAATAAGAGTGAGAATGAGAATAACAATAATAGTTATTGTTACCATTATCATTATGATTATCAACCTTCACCTCCACCACCACTAAAACCACCACCACCACCACCACCACCACCACCTCCACCTCCACCTCCACCGCCACCTCCACCTCCACCTCCACCTCCACCTCCACCGCCACCGCCACCTCCACCTCCACCTCCACCAAAACCACCACCACCACCACTATTTTTATTCATTTGTTCTCATTCTGTCTGCCTCCCGAGCTTTTTGGGATTTTTTGTCTTCTTTTTCTTTTTCTCTTATTTTCAACACATCTCCCTCATTCTTTTTCTTTTTCTCTTATTTTCAACACATCTCCCTCATTCTTTTTCTTTTTCTCTTATTTTCAACACATCTCCCTCATTCTTTTTCTTTTTCTCTTATTTTCAACACATCTCCCTCATTTATCCGTGTATCCCAAACCTCATCCTTCCATCCCCCGCCTCATCGTTAATATATACAAGAACCATTGTACTGAAAAGACGGTTTACCTTAGTTCCCCTTACGATATTCAACCAAAGAAAATGGGATGCCGTTTAGGGGGATGGGGTGAGGGGGGGGTTAAAGAAATCGTTTTGTTGTTGTTAATATTATTTTTTTATCTATTTATTTATTTATTTATTTATTTTCTAAGAATGTAGCGTTTTGTAATTTTGTTCTTATTATTTTCCGTATTATTGTTACTGGTGATATTGTGAATATGTTGATCATGATATTTACCATTATTATTGTTGTTGATGTAGTTGCCATTATTATTATTAGTAGTAGTAGTAGTAATAGTAGTAGTAGTGTCATTGTCATTGTTATTGTTATTGTTATTGTCATTGTCATTGTCATTGTCATTGTTTTTGTTATTATTATTTGATTGTTGTTGTTTTTATTGTTATTATTATTATTATTATTATTATTATTATTATTATTATTGTTTTTGTAATTGTTATTATTATTGTTTTTATTATAATTATTGTTGTTGTTATTACCATTACCATTACCGTTACTACTACCATTACCATTACCATAACCTTTACCACTAGTATTACTAATACTGTTACTATTTATAATTATATTTATATTTATGCTTCTATTACTGTTTCTGTTATTATACTTACTCTTATTATAATTAGTAGCATCATTATCATGATCGTTATTCATGATCTTATTATCTGTAGTTAGGAACCTCATATTTTATGGTTCTGTTGATAATGCTGATGATGTTGATGGTGATAGTAATAATGTTTGTAATAATGATAACAGTAATAGAAATAATTTTGGTAATGGTGACGATAGTGACAATTATAACGATAACGATAACTATAATGATAATGATGATGATGATGATGATAGTAATAGAAATTATAATATCAATGATACTACTATTAAAAGTAGTAGTAGTAGTAGTAGTAGTAGTAGTAGTAGTAGTAGTAGTAGTAGTAGTAGTAGTAGTAGTGTTAGTAGTAGTAGTAGTAGTGATAGCAGTAGTAGTAGTAGTGTTAGTAG